ATCACCTTTACATTTTTGGGTGTGTGTTCATTGGCATATTCAACGCCAGCTTACATAATCAACAGACTGCAAAAATGATAAGACGCAAAATAAGAAAAGAAGTGCCCACACAGCATTTTATACGGTTCTTTTTGGCTCTCCCGCAAAAAAACAGGTACACAACGTTTCCTCCACACAATTCTTCTTTTATGCCGGGTTCTTGTCTGCCCTCCTCTCTCTATCTTTCTCTGTCTGTTTGTCTACCTCTGCCTGGGTGTGCGTGCGTTTGCGTAAAATCGCTCTCTAATTGGTTGTGAGTAATCAGGCGATGGGATCGCGTGATTCTTCAGCAGCGCCACTCAAACTATAAGGGCTGTTCAAACTGTAAGTTAGCCGACATTAGGCTACTGGCTGCCTGTCTTAATGCCAAGGCGTATGCATTCTACAAGTGTTTCCCACAATTTCCACCACCTATTGCCCAGACGCCATACACCACACACCCCGCCAGCTGACACACAAAAGCCCACAAAGCGTTTAACGCAATTTGACGCGACGATAGACGCGCTCAAATCAATTTGAATAAACAATTTGCGCGCATTGTCAAATCGCTTACATAATGCTGCCGTACAGCTTACGCTTTCGTGTATTTAATTTAGCTTAAGTTTTTTGTGCGGAAACCCACGGGATCAGTTTGGGAAGCACTCTATGTTCATATTGTATGTGTGACACCGTTTCTATCTTGCCATAAAAAAAAATGTGGGCCAAATAAAAAGTTTAAGATGTTGTTTTGCTTTGGCTTTGGTTTTGCAACAAAATTATCTGGGACATTCCGTTCGAAAAGCGCTAATTATTGCTCATTACGCGCCAGCTTTTAATACAGTTTTATTCTATTTTATCTTATCTGGGGGTAGGCGAAGGCAGCGACTCTGATTGTGCCACGAAATTGAATAGTTTATGTACGAAAGAAATGAAAAGAGAACCCAAAAGGGATGAGTAGTTCAAAACAAATACTCTCCCAGTATATGGAATGGAGCAGGAACCCACGAAATGACCTTGTAATTGCCTTTCAATTACCTGACTTTCATTTGCATTTCCCCGGGCGCACGAGCACAGTGAACGCTTCGAACCTCCGTTGGTGATAACCCCGAGATAAGCTCATTAACATTAACATTTGTTCAACATTACTTATTGTTTTTCTTCTGACGATGATTATGATGAACTTTGGGTTGCACAAAAAAAACACGAAATCTGTGAGGCATCATCGAAAACAAAGTACTCATGCCGGGAGCTGTTCTATTGCGTTGTGAGAGTTTCCTCTCAAGAAGGCACCGTTCCGGGCTGCACTAATCAGGCAAGGGCCTGGCCACATCTAAACAATATTCTGATTACAAATAGATTCGCACTTCAACCTGGGGCTGCACTTGGATGCGCGGAATTCCATACCTCTACAATATTTGCTATTGTTTGTTTGCTTTACGTCGAGTATTTGAATGGCGTGTGTGGCAAAGAAAACAAATATAATAAACACAAAAAGCTATTTTAGGCAGGTCGCACCGTAGTATCGGAGATCAAGCAAGTCAGGGACGTATCGCATTGAAGCTTTAGGAACGACGACCCTGACATTGACCCAAAGTGCTGCGCGCTCCAAAGGTAGTTTTTTCCGTACGGTGAAGCATCCAAAATTGATTTAATTAAGAGTAATTTGTGTCGATGTCACATTTGGCATGCAGAAACATTTACCAACCAATTACCAATTGAGAGCAATCAAAACAAAAAGAATGCATAAACAAATCTGTTTTGTCAGAATTTTAAATTTCCCTTTTTTCCTGCCAAATCAATGGCAGTAATTCCGTGTCCTTGGCCCCTAAGAAACCCAAAGAAGAAGTGGCTGTAGCTGGAAACATCTGTTCGGTTTGTCTGTCTGTTTTGTGCCTGCGCAGTAAATCACCTAGATATTTCACGTACCTAACTACGTCACGAGGCGAGAGTTTCGTAACCACACACAAGAGAAAAATCAATACTGTTGTCCTTTGTCAGAACGTGTCCCTTGAAACTTTTGTTTTCATGCGACCTACGCAACCGAATGGCAAAGTGCGAAAGGACAGCACTTACCAGTAGTAGGCAATCTGGTCACCCAATCCATTGCGGACATTGCGATCGAGCAGATTGTAGCAGATATTGGTCGAGGCGCCCTCCATCCACTTAATGTAAATGGGTCCCTTGGAGATGTTGAAGTTGTATTGCAGAAACTTTTCCTGATCGGCGGGCGTCTCCCAGTGGAATTGCTTGGCCACACGGGACCAGAACTCTGCGGGATTGTCGAGGGACTCCTGGTAGAACTTCTTGTACTCCTCGAAGCTGGATATGTAAGCGTTTTGGCTGATGGCCGGATTGGGATCGTATATTGATTTTTCCGCTGGCATTTTGTCTGTTTGTTTTGGTTGTTCTTTTGTGGCAGAAAATAAATTGCTTCCTTGTGACTGTTTTGTTTGCTGTTGCACTTTTGTCCTTCCTTTGATTATCCTTTGCTCATCGAGGTGTGTGTTGTGTGTGTGTTTGTGTGCTTATTATTATTACGGACTGGTTCTCGAGCAGCACGCGCTTTCTCGCACCGCACGGAGTGAGTTTGAATGACGGAATGACTGCTTGGCCGCGCCACACCGAAGCTTTTTGGCATTCGCGAGCTTTGGCGAGAGCAAAAGCTTTCGATGTGCCGTTCCGTGCCTGTCGTGCCAGTTTTTCAAGTTCAAAGAGACAGCGCGCTGCTGCTGTTTCTTATCAGCATCCATCCCTACAATGGTCTGACAGACACCATCGCCGTCGATCCTTATCGGAATCACGGCGGCGTAACTTTCCAGAGAAGTAGGTGTGTGCGCTGTCCGTCCCCGGCTTTGACTTCGTCTTCGCCTCCTAGCTGCACATTAATCAGGTGATGGCGGACACTTGAACCCTGACGATTGGCGTGTGCCATCGGTCGTCTCGGCAACAGCATTATACACGCGACGCGGCTGTTGCCACTGTGCATACCACGCGGCACAGAGCTGATCTCAATCGAGTCAGGTTTGAGTGATCCCTAAAGACATTCTCTTTGGACACTTCCTCTCTGGGTTTCACTCAATCGTTATCTTTGAGCGATTGCCGGTGCGTTCTCTTAAGTCTCTTATCGCTAGGTTTCCATGGGGGAGCAGACATTGGCTGCCTCAGGTCAATACCAGAGACGGCGATTGCCCCTCACATTTCAAATATTATGTTTGGCTTTACTGTCGATTCTTATTCGTAACAAGTTTCAAGTGCTTCAACAACGTGGGGGATGTGTGGATGAGTTTTGGTATGAGTTTTTGGTTTGTGCGAGAGATAACAAATGCGTAGACGTTGTGTCTTTAGGCTAGACTCAAGTGTTGTTGGCTGTTTCCATGCCTAAAGTGTGGCTTAGTGTTCGGCGCTGCTTTTCACAAATGCGCTGTATTGCTCTTCAGTCATAAGTTTCTCGTATTCAGTGGGACTCTTTAGATCCACCTTAAAGAGCCAGCCTATAGGGGAAACAATTCATGTTAAAATGATCTCTAAGTACTCTGCAGTCGCTTCCTCACCTTTGTCATAGCAACTGCTGTTGACCAGAGCTGGCGTGTCCTCCACCTGGGCATTCTTCTCGGTCACCTTGCCGCTCACGGGTGAATACACCTCGCTGGCCGCCTTCACACTCTCCAGGGCACCGCATTCATCGTCCTGCTTGAGCTCTGTGCCTGGCTCCGGCAGCTGGGCAAAGACCACGTCGCCCAATGCCTCCTGGGCATAGTTAGAAATGCCAACGACGGCCTTGGTGGCATCCAGAAGCTCCACCCACTCGTGTTTGTCTGTGTAGCGGCGCTCTGTCGAATTCAAAAGTTCCACATGTAACAACCAGTTTTAGATGCACAGTGGCTTACCAACTGTATTTGTTATGGCATAAAGCCCTTACCTTTGTCCAGCATGCTGGTTATGTGGAAACTACGCCACTGAGCTGTGGCAAGGGGCGTGGCACGCAATTGGCGGGCCGCCTGCACACCGATACGTGCGAATTTTGTTATGAAAACCATTTTTTCCAGTCAAAATAGAAGAAGTTAGCTGACGCTTGGGTAGAGATTCGATCCGTTCCCCGGTGAGTTTCGATGACGAATGAGTAAAATATAAAACACACGAGCCCGAGATACGTTTTACGCCTGGCTCTACTGTTTAAAGTCGAATATTTTCCGGCTTATCACGAAACCAACAATTTTTAATTTAACTTTATGACCCGACTTATCGATAGAAACGAAATTAACCCACTGAAACCCCTTAAATTTAAATGGGTAAACAGCTTTAGGTAAAACTCTGAAAATCTTAAAGTTTGTGAATTATAGTTGCAGATTCACACTTCTCCTTTATACTAACAAATAAAAGAAGCCATTAGTCTTCCTCCTGAACTACGCTAAAATCATTGGAATTATATAATTGGTATGGACATATTAAATACCCCCATGGTCGACAATGGGCTAACGTTTTATTTGTTGTTGATCGAAAATCATAATCCACGATTTTGATGTTCTCTTTAATATTACAAGCTAGAAATAATCTTCTACTCTAAACATATAATTTAATCCAATTGATCAATCACTTTTCTACAACATTGGCTATATTTAAGGACTCTGGATTCTCTATACAGTACAATAAAAGCATAAAACGTGAATGGAGATGGACTGGGACTGATTTTGATATCTCTTCAAGTCAACTCTTTAAACGGTCTGCATTGTGCGCGCATTTGAAATATAACTATTTAAAATAGTTAGGTAACCATTAGATAACAATTAGCATGCCATGCTTTTTTTCAATTCTATATTTGTCAGTTCAAAATTCCGCGATAATCGCGACGCAATTCAAACGTTGCTGGGGGCCGTCTTCAATCAGAACATCACCGACCTAAGCCTTATCAGAAATGAGACATTATAAACAAATTAAATTCCACCGACTTGGCAAATAGCTATAACTATATAACACTTGATTGTATATTATATATATTTACAACTGCATACACTTATATATTGTTATATTAACATGCAAATAAATATAAATAACATGCACAAAACATACTGATAAACATTTGAACTAAACTTTAGTTGATTTCCTATTTCATTTGCGGCCACTCGTACTCGTACTCATACTCGGGGCGGCTTTTGGGGGGGTATTATTTGAGAATTATATTATGCAAGATAGCTTTTGGGTACTTTGGTTTGCTTGGCTCCTCCGCCTCCACTTAATACTGGGGATGACGCAGAATGCCGCTCGGACTCGGCTGTGGGGTGTAGTCGGGCATGGGGAAGCCGGATGTGGCCACAACCACTGTCTCCTGCATGGGCGACCGCAGAGGACGATTGTCATGTGGATTTGGTGCTGGATACTGCTGGAAGGCATTGATGTCGCGGAATCGACGATCCATCAGATTTGAGTCCAGCGACATGTGAGCCGCTCGCACAATTGCCTGCTCGTTCACCTCAATGGTCTCGGCCGACGATCTATTATCCGCCATGTAAGCGGCATTGTTGTATGCCTGAAATTCTACTCTGTGGAAGGACAAAGCGAAAACATTCATTTCGGTACGTTTGGGCTGAGATTTTCTCTACTTACTTTTCTTCTTCGTAGGCACGAATGGGTGGCCGGTTGGATAGGATATCATTGGAATCCTTGCGGGGATTGAACAAAGTATCCTGTGGCGAGAAAAATCAAAAGATAATTAAAGAAATTTAAACAAAACGTTCAACCCCATTTATCGTATATTGTAGCCATACTTTGGTTTACAATCAACCATTATCGAGAGCGGTTCTCGTCTTCGTAGGGCTTATCAGTGGTTACCCGCAGCTATGTTTAGCCGTGTCGTAGCCGCTGTCGTAGGAATTTCTCTTTTTGCGTTGTCGAAATGTTTTATTTCGCTTTATTTTATTTAGGCCACCGCCAAGACCTTGCCCATTGCTCTCCTGGGCTTAGACGCGCTCCATAAATTTATAGCGCCGCCATAGACAATGTCAGCATAATTGACCGATGAGGTCATCCCCATTTTGGATTCTTACCACACTATCCTTATCGGTGGCAATGCGCGTGGCTCGCATGGACAGATAAAAGAGCAGTCCAACGTTGATGAGCCACAGAATGAAGCCCTTGAAGGAAATGATCATCATCGAAATGGCAGCCACACCGCCGGCCATCAAAGTGGATGCCATGGGCAGTACAGGATCAGAGTTGATGGTGTTGGCATTGTAGGTCAGCGCTGCTGCCTGGAAGCGTCCATAGTCAATGCCAAAGATCACGCCTGAGGCCACATCCATGCAGCAAATGACGCCCACAAAGAAGGCCCAGTGAGCGATGGCGATCAGGGATAGCTTGGGATTATCTTTGCGAACACCTGAAAGAAAGGGAGAACAAGGGGAATATATCAATAGTTGCATTAAGCATCATCATTAAGCTATTGGCCTGGTGACTACTCAATGAAAATTATCTAATCGTTGTAGTGCTGCTTTTTATCTTAAATCTTAGTTGCTTGATAAAAATACGAAAATTCCAAGAATGAATCATGCCATAAAAGGGGTTGCGATATTTTATTTCTATATGCATTTAATTTCCGTTTACAAATTGTATACTCACACATCAAGAGAACAATGGAAACGATGAGCCAGACCACGGAAAGGCCCAGGTAGAAGCAGTCCCAAATTAATACCTGCGATGGATCGAACACCGTTGAGACCGTCTTCAGTATGCCATAATCGTAGTTCTGATAGTCTGCGGGACTCATTTTACAACTGCCCTTGAAGTACAAGTCGAAGAAGACAGTCTTGATCAGGGTGCCAAAGCTGAGCTCATCGGTTATATAGAGCACACAATTGTAGGCGCATATTGCTGTAATGGTCAAGCCAATCCAAATGATGGACTGCACCTGCACGAGAGAGAAGTAAAAACAAAGAGAGAGAGAGAGAGAGAGTGGGAGAGTTAGTTTTGTTTACACACGTCAAAGTGGGCAAATGTTAACTGTTATCGTTGGATTGTGGATCCATTTTCATTATCATGAGTCAAATTTCTGATTAGCAAAAAAACTGTGATCAGTTGGAGTGTACTCCGCGAGCGATAGCATTGGGGGGAAGCCAATTTCAGTTAGTGTTTCGGTTGTACTCCCATGTCAATGTCAATATCTCCGCCAGTCTATGGGCTTATCAATGTGAATGGGGCCACCACCCACTCGTGCAACATATCTTTGATTACATACCACACCGAGAACACCGGCCCATAGAACGGCCGTCTTGAGGGACGGAAAATTCTTGATTCTGGCCGCTGGTGGATACATTCTGTAGACACTGTTGTCGAACACTGCTGTTGTTTGATTCTCACGCCCCCGAGTTCGAAGCGATTCGGATCGGGTTGAGTGCGCTTTTGTAGTACGCGACGGACGATCGTTGGACAACTGAATTGGCCCGTAACATGCGCCAATTAACTTTTGCGCCGCTTTTTTTCGCGATATTGTGGGGTTCACTATGAATAACTAACAGCCAGGCTAACAATGAATGATATGGGTATTGGAATGGGCCAATGGGCCAGGCTTTTATTTCGTATCGGTTCGGTTCGGTTTGCCGATATCCGTTCGCTTTTCGTTTCGTTTGCCAACTGAAATGCGAAGTCCGTTCAGATACAAACTACATAGCAGCCTTTACTTTTGTTCGGCCTTTGGAGTTCGGTTGGTAAATAATACATTATCGGTGCCACTGATAAGCACGGTGTCTTCTGGCCATACCGCACCACCCATTTGCGCTTGGCTGTACGGCACAAGTTCAACCCAACGCGAAGGCAGCCAAATCGAGAGGCTAAAAACGGCAATGGCATAGCGGAATCTTATCGGTATTCGGTTTTAGCCCATTAGTGATGTAGTACCTTTGTTATCGGTGCTTAAACGCCTGTTGTTGTCTGAGTGGAATGCAATGCTTGCCTCATTGATCAAATGTTATAATTAGTTCACTTGTTCCCCTGCTAACATTTAAAAGAACCGCGAAAAGGCGACCTCTTACGGATGTTTGGAGAACTACTATTGCACGTTGTTGTATGACATAAACGAAACGTCGCATAAAAATACCACAGGCGCACGTAAATATATTCTTATCAAAGCACTTTCCTTTAAAAATATTAAACAGCTCTCAGCATAATTAATTAACCCAATTTCTACCATAACAACACATACGAATAATACCAAACTGTAACGCTGTCATACTTTTTCTTTGTCTGAACGTGCTTGACCGCCTAGGCAAGCCGCCATTTCCGTATAGCACAAGCGAGACAACAATAGTGCACAGCTGAAAGGGGCCAGGGCAGCGTGCGTGCTTGAGAGCGAGACAACTAGCTAATCAGCGAGCAGTGCTGCAGAAAACATACGCATTTTTAACCCTAAAAAATACAGCACCGAGTGTTTAGTACAGTCAAAGTGACGCCGCGACGGTCAGAACAAAAATTAAATTACAAAAAACTGTTGTTCCTGGTGCACAATATTGTTTTGTGGCTGCTAAAAAAATAAAAACAAGCCGCGTACGTTTGCAGTAGTATCGTCAATCGAGAAGACCGCATTAGCGCAGTGCTGAAATTCGCCGTTCGTCGTAATCGCCGAATAATAAAAAAGAAGCGGCTTGCAGTTGCGCGTGTTGCGCTCAATTTTTAAAGACCCCCAATACGGCCACGGCAGACAATTGTTTCCCCCACAATGAACAACCAACTGAATCCGGTCACCTATCGCAAATTTAACAATTTGCTCAACAGCGGAGCCGTCACCGTCACTGGCCCCAGCCAACCGCGCATTCTAAAGACGACGCGAATCGTCGGGTCAAGCGGCGGAGGCGGGGCCGCTGCATCAAGCGGTGGCGGCAACATTGCTGTGGCCACAGCTGCAGCCCAGCAAGCGGCCAGCGACTCTGATGCGGGCGGTCTGGCCACGCGGTGTTACATCTGCGACGAGCGATGCGATGCCCAGACGGCGCTCACCGAGGTGTGTACCACTCACACGGCCACCAAGTTCCCCAATAAATTGGCCCAGCTCGTCGGCGAGGGCTTCTTGGTGATTGTCTGCGGCGAGGACTTTGTCTGCTCGCGATGCACAAACCTGGTGAACTACTACGACCGCCTGGAGAACGATGTGGAGCGTGTGAAGACCAATTTGATTAGTTTGCTGAATAAAAAGTATGCAATCAACGATGAAGCTGGCGGCGCGGACTCCAGTCCGCCTCTGAAGATGCAAAAGCTGGCCACGGGCGGTGCCGCCCGTTCGCAGGAAGAGAGTCCTGGCGGGGATCTGTTACGACCGCGCAAGACTGTCCAAGCAACGCCAGGTACGCGATAACTCGAATCTATAGCATCAGTTTTGACCTTATATAACGCTCAATTCTCTCCCGTTTCCAGGTGCGCCAAAGCTGGCGCCCATCACCACGCAAAGCAGCACGCCGGGCACACAGACACAGGTACAGCGGAAGGCCACCAAGATCTACAAGTGCACCTCGTGCGACTACAAGACCTCGGACATGAGGCTGTTCAACACCCACTATGAGACCTGCAAGCAGCAGACTTTCCAGTGCAAGACATGCCGCAAGATCTTCCCCCACTTCGGGGCCATGAAGCAGCATATGGTGCGAGACCATAGCACCGCCATGGACAATACCTGTGCCATGTGCCATATCAATTTCGTGAACGAGACCAGCCTGCGGAAGCACATGGAGACCAATCATGCCACCAATGTACTGGTTACCAGCACCACAACCATACCCGCAGCAGCTGCACCAGTGGCCGCTGCAGCGGCAGCAGCTGCCGCCGCAGCTGCCTCCGAGGCATTGGGCGCGCCTGGCTCGGCTCTGTATAATTGCAATCATTGCCAGTTCAAGTCCACCGACAAGGGAGTCTTCGACGAGCATATGCGCAAGCATGCCAAACCGAAGCCGTTCAAGTGCCGCCTGTGCTCGCAGCGATTCGAGACGCGTGAGGCTGCCACCACCCATGCCAAGCAGCATCAGACAAATTATTTTAAGTGCGGCACTTGCTCGATGACCTTCCCCAAGCGTGAGCTGCTCGTGAAGCACTTTGAAGTGCATCAGACTCAGAGCGGCGGCGGCGCGTCCACAAAGTTGTCGGCTGTCAGCAGCCCCAACCTGAACACTCAGAAACTGCTCCAGGAGACCATCGATGAGGCATTGAGCGACAGTGTGCCAACCTCGGGAACTACGGCCGCTGTCGTTGCCGGCGGCGAGGGGGAGAACAACATTCGATTCTTCTCGTGCAGCATCTGCTCGCTGACCTTCATCCAGGAGACATACTACAATCATCATATGGAGACCCACAGAAGGGACAAGAAGGGCGCCGGAGCTGGCGGAGCAGCGGCTCTCAATTCGGCTGCCACCGCTTTGCTCAGCGACGAGCCAGGCGATACCAGCGGCAAGGCCGATGATAACAGCGACCAGAATGCCGAGGCCGATATTGAGAGCCTTTTTGAGAAGCTTCACTCAGACAAGAACGAGAGCGGTGAGGCTCCCAAGACCAGTAAGAGCGGAGAGATGGTCATCACCTCCCAGGAGGGCAGCGGTGGCATCACCTTCAACATAACCATCCCCCAGCCGGATGGCGACCAATCGCAGGACTCGGCGAATGCCAGTGCACCCAGCATGCCCATTGATATGCCCAATCTAGACCAGGCCGAAGACGAATCCCAGTCCCAGAGCAGCGTTGATGCCAAGGCCAGCAGTGGCGCCAATGCCTCGTCGGCTGACGGCAAGTCCGCTGCTCCCGTTTCCATGCCCAGCCTCGATGATGACAATGAGGCAGCCGCCGCAGAGGAGAACGCCGTGGAAGGCAAGGCTGCTGGAAAAGCCAGCGATAAGGGCAAGGCAGAGGAGAGCGCAAAGGAGAAGGAGGCTGCCGGCTCAGAGGAAGCCCATCCCTCCGAGGAAGGAGAAGCCGCAGAGAAACGGGAAGCCACAGACACGCCCACCACCGAGTCGGAGGCTGCAGCGGTCACCACAGAAGCCAGTGAATCGGCCGATGGCGAACATGCCGCCTCAGCAGAGGGCGAGGGAGAGGCCGGCGAGGGCTCGGGCGGAGAGCATCAGGTAGCAATGGAGCTGGACGAGGCCATGCAGGCCCAAGTGGATGGTGGCCAGATTAAGTTCATTGTCAATGAGAACGGACATTTGCTGCAGCTGGACAACCACATTCTGACCGATGCGGACGGCAACCAGATCATTGTCCAAGATCCCGAGCAGATCCAGCAGCTGCTGCAGAGCGTGGGAGTCTTGCAGTCCGGCGATAGCATCGAAGGCGAAACCCTGCAAATGATGAACGACGGCAGTGGCCAGATGGTGCTGGTCCATGGCGATAACAATGAACAGCAGCTGATAGACGCCTCGCTGCTGAATTCCGAGGGTCAGTTGATCATCCAGCAGGGCCAGGATGGCGAGGAGGGTGCTCATGTCATCAGCGAGGATGGCACACGCATACCCGTGTCCGTGTCGTACACCGAAGATGGCCAGCCCATTGTCCATGTGCAGCAGCAGGTGTTGGAGGCAGCCCAGCAGGGCGCCGGCGGTGACAGTCCCGACCACAAGGAGGCAGCGGAAACATCTGCCGGTGAGGAAGTGCAAGTCTCGGAGGCCACTAGCGTTGCATCCACCACTGTGGTGGCCACCAGCACGGCGAGCAGCACTGCAGGCGCCTCCAGCGGCAGCTTCTTTGGCCTGGAGGAATTTACGGAGACGAAAGCAGACTAGGGTTGGCTCTAGAGGCGGGGCCGTGAACACTATAGAATAATGGCATGCGATGAGGACTGGTAAGTGTTTTGGATTTGCCTGCTGCTTCCAGCTGTTATTTTACTAACGATTATTATCTCTTAACTCTTGCAGGACTTAACAGATTCACACGCTGTGCGCGCGCTTAGAATGTTTATTGAGCGGCTCAAGGTCTCTGGAGGACTTTCGCACACACAGAACAGCGAGACATACACACATCCAACATGTCTAAACCAAAACCCAACTTTACAGATGACAGAAACACCAACACGAACCACACACACACACACACCTAAAAAATATATTTACATTTAGCATATGTATTTACACTCCAGTAAGCTATACAATTTCTTATTCTCCCTTGTGCGCCGGCCCCGGTCGCAGCGAAACAAAAAAAAACCCAGGAATACTAAACTAAAATAATCCAATCAATCAAATTGTTCATTCGGCCCATTTCCGTTTACATTTCGCACTCTGCTGCTCCGATCTGCCAGAGATCTCAGCTCAGATCCAATTTTGGCATTCGCAAACGCAATCGATTGGTTCATGTCTCGGACTTGGAAGGTGTCTTAGGATTAGTTTAATTATAGGCAACAAGTAAACTACATACGGTGGAAAAAACAAAAAACAAATGTATAAACATACTAGATTATCATGAGATACTTGAATTATTTTAACAAAAGTATGCATACAACCACAACACAAATACAATTAAACAACAAACAAAAAATAATAAAATCTATTAAAACCAAAACAATTGACAATTGAGCTGAGCAGCTCCGATAAACAGCGGATTGATTTAATGATCGTTGATACAAAAGAAGTGAACTACTTCCTACAGTTTCCTGCCCCCTCAAACATGATAGATGATAATGATATATATGAGTGTTACATGTAAACCACTTTGGATTCCCCCACACACACACAAACACAACCTTATATATATGTCAAGAAACTTGAAATATATTATTGTAAAGATGTGCAAAAAAACAAAAGCAAAGTTGTGGAATTCGTTATGCATGTAAATCGATTTTAGATAAGGCAGTCGAACATGAACATGATGGGATGTTTCCAGCTTAGTCTCCATGAATATATATAGCCCCGTAAGTCAGGCAGTAACCCCAACATGAATCTGGGTATATTTTTGTATATTTCAAGTTCAACCAGGCCATTGGCCTCTGGATGAATGAATCTTTGTGTTACGAGTCTATGAAAGTTCATATTTTTATGGGCAAACTTTCAACTCGTTCGCCACACCTGTTGAATTTATGTTTATTTAAATGTTGTATGCACTTGATTAATAATATTTAATACCCAAATGGATGCTAAACTTCTAGCGGTGGCATTTAAGCCATTGAAACTGTCATTATATGCCTCGTTCCGACCCATAAATCTCTGCGCCAGTTGATATTTAACTCTGGAATTGCCACTGATTAGCAACCGCAAAAAGGCAGAATTTTAGCAACCGGATTGGCACGTGGATGATTCAGGGAACAAACTCAAATGTATAAATAGAAAACTAATTTCTGCTCAATAGTTGTGGGGTTCAGTGACAAATTGGTGGCGATCTCCAGCAGAGTGTCTGTTAGAGCGTTGAATGGCTGCGTTGAAAGAACATCAGATAAGCAAAACTGGTTATGAATTCATAATTGCTTTCTATGGTGTGTGGGCTAATGGGATATTCTTTCCGCTAACATGTGATGACACTTTGATGGCTCCCGTAAATGCTCCTCCTCCGAAAATTACATTCAAGGCCGGAACTGATTGTAGGATGGATTATACCGAGCCGTGCATCAATTAGCAACTTGTTTTTTCGGTGACATTAAATGCGGCCATCATTGATGTCAACTCAATTTGGTTTATTAGTCTGGTTACATAAGTGCGGTCGGCTCTCGGTGTTTAAGAGTCAGTCGGTCAATAGTATGCAGCGACCTTAATTAGGCGCCCACATGCAAATGAGTCAGGCGACCGACGACAATCTTCTTCTCGATTGTCGCTAAAGCGAAAGTCGTTCTTAGAGGCCCCTCAAATCAAGGTCTTTGGAATGGCATAGTCGGCACAAACCAAGCTGATAGAAAACTGACATTTGAGTGTGAATAAGTGCCATGTGCGACGATTAGCATACAAAAAAAACATGATTCCGACAATACTGAATCTTTGACAAATTTTTAAGAACATTTTTGGCATGTGTCGCTGGCTGATCTCTGTACTTTCCATTGGTTATGCCTATCCATGGAGTTTCCTGAATATATGTTTGCCATATGCTGTGACGTGCAACATCTTTAATTGTTATTTAGTGCAGCGAATTCCTTCCTATACCTGTACTCCAGTACTTTCCAGACACGCTGGGCCACAACTCAATTAAAATTGTATTTTATATACATTTATAGAATATTTATTTGCTTGCTATATATTTTGGTATGATTCTGTTGCCGCTGTTGTTCGCTTTTTCTTTTGTTGCTGGTGCGTCTGTCCCGTTCCCCCACATTTGCATGTAAAAACGATAAGCGATAAATACACAAATTTAAATATTTCTCATGTGCAACGACGTTCTGCGCTTATCTCCGATTCTACGAGGCAGATATTGACAGATATGATAGTCAAAAAATATTTATCTTTATGGCTGATTTCTAGCCTTACCAGCGCCTCGATCTGCGCTCATCCACCGCTGGATGCGTGCGAATGTATTCCAGCTGTCGGAGCACATGCAGCGGCACGGCGGGAATGTGCGCGCCCTCCGGCTGATAGCCATTGGCATCGGCCACATACGTGAAGGTTATGGGTATGCCCTCGAGGGACACATACTGGACTACGCCTACGGCTCCATGCTCGTTGCCAGCCGCCTTGGTGGTTATGCCGTTGCTCGTCTGAAACTCGTAACGATAGTGGCCCGCGGCATTGGGCGGCGTGTTGTGGTAGTAAATGGTGCGATCAAACAACGCTGCGGCATTGGCTGTGGCTGTGGTGGATGCAACTGCGAAGGCCAGCAGAAGCTGGGCGTAATTGGATTAGCGGCTGAGTAATCAGGGAGACGCAAAACGACGCACAAACCTTGCCAAACAACGACCACATCGTCATCTCCTAATTAAATATACTCCAAATGTATCGTTTTACAGACTCGACCGATCTTGAACCTAAACCTGAATCTGAAACCGTATCAGAATCAGAATTCACCGAAATATGAGCCGTTAGATAGCGTTTGAAACATCAACTGCGTCGCGATCTGCTATCCCCGAATGTTAGATTGAAACTGCCAAAAAACCAGCCAGTGTGTCCGGTGCATAAGGAAGCTTTCAAGCTTGCTAATTGTCTCGCTGCTCTCTGGGGAAGAGTTCTCAGACTTAGATTCAAAGTTTGAGGAACAGATATGGCTCCAAGCACTGACGGAACATGAGTATGATGAACCAACCAGCTGATGCATAAATTGGTCGAACAGATCAATGCAACAACAGCATTAGCCGCAGCATCGATCCGTGTACGGGTTTTCGAGGATCGCGTTGGGCTTGATTTATGTTGAATTTGTGCTAATGTGCCTGCTCGTCTGACAATGAAGTTGTTTTGGTTTAGTTGGGTGTGCCTGCTGCATATCAAACTAATATCAGCCAGGGACCGGAGAGCTATGCACAGTGGTTCGCCGACGATGGCTCTTCCATATGGACAAATTGTTGCATGTTATTGGTAATTTATTATAATTTAATTCTACATTTTGGCTACGTTGGAAAAGGTCATGGTTGAAGAAACTCAACACTCAACTAAAAAGCCAATACAAAATATTTTAATTTGACTTCGTGTGGCAAGATCCGTCAAGCTTGAAGCTAAATTTGAGTCAAAGCGAAGCTTTAGAGGTCCATTTGTCAGTTCCAATTTGAGATTTCTTTGATTGAAATTGCACTGGAAAACATCAAAATTTATTCTTGGCTTTCAGTTCTTTAAATTGGATAGCTAAATCGTGCCACTGTGCGTTGGGTTGGATGACAGACCTAGACCTTGCACGCATTTGCATAGCAGCTCGAATCTTACAACTTGCCGACTCTCAAGCCTCCTCTCAAGGTGTCGGCCAACAAAATCAATCAGTCCATCAATAAGAATTTATATGTTTATTTGAATGACATTTGCATTATCTCATTTTTGTTGTGATTCCGAAGCATAGCAAAAAGTCATTTGCTTTATAAATTATTAACTAATTAATAAGCAACACCAGCGTTTATGACAATTTACATACGTAGCAAAAGATTCATAAAGAGAAAGATTGTGCCAAAAATAATCTACGGCTAATTTTCAGACATAAATCTTCAAGTCAAACAAGTCAAGTTGTCGTCTGAGATCTTTTTTTTGGCGGACAACATTAATTAAGTGACACAAATCGACGACAAATAGTTTAGCCTTAGAATCGATTGCGAAACTCTCAACACAACACAAACAAAAAACACGAAAAACTAGAAAACTGAAAACCTTAAGCCACAGACAAACTAAACTGAACTGCCTTTTCCAGTTCTTCATCTTTCGCACTATCATCATCTTCTTTGGTTGGCTCCTCAGCGGAGCGGTGCGATGCGTGAACTATTGGTTGGTTTCTTGGGAACTATGAGAACATTGATTAAAGCATAGACGTATGTAAATTGAAGCATAAACAACATATGCTTATGTTGAAGTGCTGTAGTGGGTTCTGAGTAAAATTAACATAAAACACACACACAGACCCTTAGAAGAACTCACACACAAAAGACTCTGGCAAAGAACTCGAACAACGACTCAATCCGAATCAGAATCAGTCTTCAACTGGCTATACAGTAGAACCAATCGACACGGAACTGTTTCCGCCAATTGGATCAGCCCAAAGATCGTCAAAGATAAATTCTCTTTTATAGTTTTGGTAATCTTAAAATCATCTTGTTTGCTACTCATTATTTGATGGCCTATTTTCCGTGTTTTTATCGCATTTGCTGTGACTTTTATGGCCAACATTTGCATTCAACTATAAGCCAAAAACTGAACAATAAAATGCTTTTCAGGATTTTTAATAATAATAATAATGTGAATAAATTAGAACATGCTGTGGGGGGGGGGGGGGGGGGAAAACTTAGTCTCCCGTTATACCCGCGCGGGGGCGGGGAAATTGAATAGGTGTTTTTTGTCGACCCACACACATGAGGGAAGGGGATTCTACATAAT